TTACTGAATAGTTTTAGGTAGAGTAGAAAATTCTGTTTTGCTGTTTTTCTGTATGGTAGGTATAAAAATTAACTCTCAAACCTGAACTTTATTACAATGATTTATCTTGAACATTTTTTAAAAAATGTGCTGAGTATTTTTTCAGTCTGGAAAACTGTTTGCTGAATCTGCTGCTAAGTCACTAGATTTATAAGGAATGTGGCTCTGTTGCAACGCAAACCACTGTGGAGAAGGGTGGTGGCCTCTGTAGACTCTGTGCTGACGCTGGCAGGAAATAAGCTCTGACCAAAGAGCTGCTTGATATGTCTATTTTCTGCCTTTGTCAAAGTCACTGTGGGGAGCTCAGTCCTTAAATAAATAAATAAATAAATAAATAAATAAATAAATATGATTAAAAGAGTTTGGGTACACTCTAAGTAAATGAGTCCTTTGAGAGTATGGGAAACATTTGTTATCCTGATCTAGTCTAAGCTGTCGTTGATATAGAAATTCCCCTTCAGTCAAGCTGGCATTTGCCTAAGTGAGGACCCCAGGATTTAGTCCAGTAAGAGCCTAAGTCTCTTGCTGTGTTGGATGGAGGCTTACTAGATGTGTAACCCCAAAAGGAGGACAAAATGAGGCTCAAAACTATTTTGATTCAATGTATTGAATCTTGTAGGTTTTGAAGAGGCTGAAGAAGAGTTCTTTTGCTTTGTTTATTGAGGGTTTTTTTAATCTGATTTAAACCTATGACCTATTATTTAAAGCTGTATATGGAAATTAACAGACAGCACAGTCCAGATGTGCTGAAGTGAGTTCTCTAGTGCATGGAAATATTCCCAGCACTCAGAAGTCCGTGTCTTTGAGTGCTGTTTGAACTACAGTCAGCAGAGCTAGTGTTGCTGTTTCTGCCAGTTCAACCATTGGTGCCTCTAATTCCCTACAGTTTGGACTTGGGGAACAAGTAAAATTCAATTCCAATAAATATAAGATGTGCTTTTTCTTTTGTCATTGCATTACTTTCTGTGACTTTTTGTCACACACAGTCACATTATATTTCATTGCCCAGCATGACACGAGTTGACAGAGGTGAGAGACGTTCTAAGCGTCACAGCACAGGGTTCTATGTCAGAGGAATGACCAGTCAGAGATAGGGTGTGAGACATCAGGAAAAGGAGAGGTCCTTGAAAGATGGGAAAAGCCAATTTTGGCAGAAGCTCACTGTATTGAAGCTAGGTATTTCAATACCTTTCTCCTTCATGACTTTCCTGCTAAAAGTTGTAAATCTTTCCATGTTCAGTTCCAGTCTGTGTTACAGCTCTGTATTGCTGCAGGAGGACTGACTCGGAAGGAAGATGCTGTTGCCAATTTATTCTTTATTCTCCATGGGATTTATTCTGTTCTCACTCTCTCATTGCACTGTGTCAGTGAGCACCAAAGAGGCAGTGGTCTTGGCTAATGCGCACCTTCTCCCCCAAAGAGGCTATGAGAGACTCGGTGACACCAATCAAAAAGGTACTCATGAAGAGAGTGAGTGATTTGGATGCATGCTGTGTTTTACTTTATTGCTTTGCTGTAGCGTTTTCAGCCAATGTATTTGAAAGTTAGCCCTGCAAAAATACTTTGCAATATGAATATGTCCTGCCCTGAAGTCCAGAATCTTTAAAATCCTTGCTTAGCTGCCATCTAATTAAAGGGAAATTAACAGGGTTTTTTGTAAAAAAAATATTTCATAGCATTTGAAGACTTATTCTTAGGACAATCATATCTAGATTACATCTGACACCTCAGGACCTAAATCCCATTGGTACCTATAACTGAGGCATCCCTCTGCCTATCTAGCTTGCAAGGTCCAACTCAGTAGGTTTTCTAACACATCTGCCAGAGTAGACCCCACAAAAAATGTACACTAAAAGAAAAGAGTAGTGGGATTGGGTCATTGTCCTCCTCTGACAGATGGCACTTGAGGGTTTATAAAAGTCACTTTCCAAGTGAATCCTGTAACAATAAGCCTAAATGATTTTCTTATCAGCCATCTATAGAAGTTGTTCTATTTGCATGAATAATATTCACTGAGAAGGGCAAATACAAGTGTCACTGTACATCGCTGCCTTGGCCATCACTATATAAAACACTTAATCATTCTATAAAATCATAGGATCAGGTTTGGAGTCAGGCTATGTCTACCAGGCAAATGTTCTAACAACTGGGGTAGAGAGTCATGTACGCAGTTCTGCTCTTTCAGGATATTTAATAATGTCATGCAGATAGTATTGAGATTTAAATTATTCTATTCATGGCTGTAGATTCTATTATGCAGTGAAAGACATAGAAGTAAGACCTTGGAAAGCCTATATACTTCTGTAAAACTGTCCTGAGTGGCTTAGAAGTACCAATAAATGTCTGAATATCGAATATAAGAGACTATATTTAACACAATACCGTTACTCTGAATAATACTATTTATCAGGTTTAGTTCATCTGGACTTCTACAAAGGCTGTGATACAATACTTCGTACAATATTAAATCAGAGAAGGTAGTGTAACATTTTCATTTCAGTAGAGATTGAAAAGAAAATGATAATGACTTCAGTAGAAAAGTAAACCATAAAGTCAAGGGAAGACTGGAAGTATTTGCTTATAAATGATCTTTTCAGTATTCTTATTAAGTATGCTGATGCAAAAATAGGAATATGCTGATAAAATTTAATGATAACATAGAGAAATGCCAATACAAAAAAATCAGAAAAAAAAATAATCAGACGTTCTTTAGTAATACCATAGGGATGAAAAACAAAGTACAAATTCTAGATTTTACTGCAAGACAAGGGCCTTACCAGTTACAAAGATCCAAAGACCAAACTCTAGATTAAAGGAAACTAAGCAATATAAATGGAATCCTAGAATATATCAACAGAGATGTTTTTAATAAGACTTGCTAAGAATCAGTGGCACTATATAAGGCCATCTGCAATAGTGTGTGCAAATTTTACCCACATTCTAGGAGACTGATTTGCAGTGAAGAGGTGCACAAGAGCTACTAAGACAATTAAGGAACAGAAGATTTCTCTTAGACTAAATAATCAAAGAATTTATTTATCCTAACAGAATTTACCCTAACAAAACAAAGGCTGATTAAAAATATAGCTGTCCTCATGGAACATCAGGGCTTATTACCCAGGAAGAAGCACTGTTTAACTAAAGGACAATATGACACAAGAAAGAAAAAGATGAACAGTGGACATTAATAAAATTAGATTGGCAACAAGATGAGTATTCCTAACAGAGTAGTGACAGTTATTGAAGTCTACAATGCTTTCAGTTGGAAGAGAAGAAATTTAATACTTCTGTGAAAAAGACTGCATGATATAATTCCCTACAGGATCCATAGTAGATCAAATAGTCACTCATGGTCCCTTTCTCTTTCCAGAAAGTCGAGGGCGCTTCTTTTAATTTTTTTTTCTTTTTTTTTTCTTTCTTTTTTTTTTTTTTTGGTGCAAACTGTTCAGTGTACTTTTTATCTGTTGATCATAAGACCATACAATGAGACTGACTCTTTTCAGACTCTGTTGTTCTGTTCAGGAGAAGAAGAACAACATGTTCAGTAAAAGGATCAGCAGAGGCTCTCTGGTCAGTGATTTCAGCAGAGAAGAGGTTTTTTTCTGAGCTTTTATTTTAAATTTTTATCTTTGGAAATATTTTTCCTTAATTGTTTCTTGGCAAATTTTTGGAAAAAAAATTAGACACCTCGCCATACTTCTCCTGAATTATCCCAGTTTCCCAGAAGAAAAAATCAAGTTCTAAATACAGTAACTAAATTCCTATCAGTCATTGCCAGGACAGAACATGGGATTTCATGGGTCTGAAGAACTGACATTTTACGTCACAGGTGGTCTGTCGGAATTTTTGTCAGAGATATTAAAATTGTCAAGTTTTTATTAAATATAAATTAAAAATATTCCATAGTATAATGACATGCCTTTCAATTCTACGGAGAAGCGAGTGATTTCAATTCATAAAGATGGTTCTGAGTAATGGAACCAACGTTGAATAACATCCTTCTCTACAAAAGGAATTCTCTATATGTGAATTCATACATGGATAAATGTGTATGTAAGAAATTATATTCTGGCTCTTAGAAGTCTCACAGTCAATTAGTAAAATCAGAGCATTGTGCCTTAGTCTCAGAGATGCTTGACACCATACTACAGCAAGAAGTTACCTTATAAGCAAGTTACATTTAAAAAAACACAGTATATATATTTCAGCCCAATAGAGAGGGTCACCCCAAGTCTAATATGCTGTTTTTATCACCTTCTGAGTCTACTGGATAAGCAATAAAGTGGACAAGCACTTTCACCTATTTTGCTGATATTGGTGTTCACCACTGCACAGCACTGTAGTTCTACCTACAAATCAGTGGTAAGATTTAGCCTGGAGTTTGAATGACAACAATTTTTCCTAAGAAAATCCTCAGATGTTTGTATGTTTTATATTGGCAAGAAATGTACTTTAATATCTCCCTTTTATCAGTGAACACATGTCATTCTTATCAGATTTTCATGCAAGGATATTACAGATGCCTGAAGTATAAATTGGTTAAAGAGAAATTAGATTTATTTGTTGAGGATAAGGCTAGCTCTACTAATAAAACACAATGGTCCAACATATGGCACAGGGGACTGCAAAGTTGCTGACTACTCAAACAGGAAGAACACAGAAGGAAAAGGAACGGTCTGTACATAACTTTTCGCTTTTCAACCATATTTCTGCCATAAATGCAAAATTGCACTTCTGTTGTATGACAGGGTAACATACACTTGTCTGAATTTCTGAACATTTCTGCATGTTCTGCCCTGAAATCTTCCCCGTTTAGCTGAGCAGACGCCCACTAGCTGGGATGAAGTCAGAGTCAGCTTCTGGTCAGAAGGTGATCACTCACTCTAGAGGACAGAGTTCAATATGGAAAATTTACTATTTGAACAGAAATTGACTTTAAAACTTTTGTTTTTCCTGCTCAGACTATCCAAGGGATTGTTTTGAGATTTTTCAGAGCTCCAAAGGGAGTTCCAGAGATGGACTTTACATCATCCAACCAAAGGAGGACCCAATTGTTGTCTCTTGTAACATGCAGGATGGTGGCTGGACAGTAATCCAGCACATCACAGTCAATAGTACTGTCGACTTTGATAGGACCTGGCAGGATTACAAATACGGATTTGGCTCTGTTGATGACAACCACTGGTTAGGAAACAAATATATGCATCGGTTAACTAGCAGCTCCGTGCAATATATACTTGGAGTTAAACTTGTAAACCTAAACACTGAAATCAAATGGGGACAGTACGAACCACTCCTTATTGAAGATGAAGAGTCTCAATACCGAATCAGGGTTGGTCTATACAAAGGCAATGCCACTGATGCTCTGACCCTGGATACAGAAGCTTATCTCCATGACAACTAGAAGTTCACCACCAAGGACAGAGACAATGATAATTACTTTCAG